AAAAAAAAAAAAAAAAAACACTCTCACACCTTTCTGTATCTGAAAAGATTCGTCGTTGTAAATAATAGCAACAGTAGACCAGTTGGTTGTTTTACAGACTCTGATGACTTTGATTCCGATTGCTGAGTTCTAGGATAGAACTTAAATTGCGCTCCAGTTTTAATTCTGAAAAAAGCATATAGTTCCCTAAGATACTCCCGGCACCCTGGTGGTGGGTGGGGCCGTTTCACACGTGGGAACCGATCTATAGTCATTGTGTGTCCGACCCTGGCCAGTGCACTCCAAGTCAGGGAGGAAGAGGCAGTTCCCAGTAACCGAGGACGATGCCTTTGGGGTGCTGCCTCTGGTGAACCCCTCGTGTCCCTGAGACACTTGGCTTGGTTGCCAAGCTGCAGAAGTTCACCCATCGTCTTTAATATTCAACGTCTCTCGAACAGCAAACATGAAATTAAAAGTCTAACTGAGCCCCTGTGAGACTTGCTTATCTCTGAGCCATGCTGTGAGTTGAGCTTGAGTCTTTGAGCTCAGGTCCAGCTTCTCTGAGCTCACGAACCGGGGAAGAGTCCGCGTAGGCGTTTGGAGGGTCTGGGATGATGCCCTGGGGTTGCCGGCGGTGAGCGTCCAGGACGGTAATAGTACACGTGCGGTTACACCTGCCCAGTGACCAGCTTGAGGGATGGAATTTGTTTTTAACCATGAGAGTTCTTACCTGGAGGAATCGCACTGAAAACGCTAGAAACGCACATTGACATGTTGCGTTTCGGGAGGCGTCGGCATGACACAGGCCACCTGGGTGCAGACGCGCTGTGTGCCTGAGCCGTCTGGGCCGTCGCTTCGGCGCCGACCCTTCCCTGGCCTTTCCTTATCTGCCTGGGGTTCACCAGTTTGTCAGCCCATCGGACAGGGGACCCCAGCGCTGTTCTTATTCTCAGCACGACATCCCTGTGGTTTCAGAGAACACAGTGGGCTTGTTGGTTGTACCCCCACCACATGTAATGTCTGTCCGGCTGGGTCTAGACCTTACCCGGAAGAATGACCACGTTCTCCATTTCCCAGAAACGCACGGGGAGCGATAGGCTTGAAGACCACCTAGTCCTCCACCATCTGGTAAATGATAGTGTGCTGGCGGTGTGGTCCCCATCAGTGTGATGAGCTCTGCCAGTGACTGTCACCCAGGGCCACCCAGCAGGGCACGACCTTGTGGTTTCCCGGCAGACGCAGTCCCCAGCCACATGAACTGAGCTGCTTCCCGGCTGCACAGAGACTTGGGGACACACAGCAGCGAGGGAGGCCCTGGGTCTCGCAGCAGTCACCTGTCTGACAGCCAGGGCAGACCAGGGGTTCGTGTCTACACCTGGCATGTCCCATGGCCACCCATGGAGATGAGCAGACGGCACCCCAGCCCCGTGCTCTGTGCCACCCTCCCATCCCCTCCATCCCCACCACACCGAGCAGCCTCCTTTCCGGTGTCACCTTGTCATCTTCCCACACCCCATGTGGAAGGCCTGTGTCCCACCTGGAGGGGTCACAAAGCCATGCAGATGCCCACTGCCCACACATGCTGGCACTCCTGGGGTCGGGCGCTCCTTATGAGTCCCAGCCCCCTCCAAGCAAGCTGCAAGGACACATCCCTACTCATCCTCAGGCTGTGAAGTGGGTCCCCAGACCTCCCCCTGGCCCCTTACTGCAGACGGAAGGCACACGTGGGGAGGCACAGCCGAGCTGCGGTGCAGGAAGGGCACCTCAGCAGGAGTGAAATCACAGCCTCCAGCCAGCGGGGACCTGCCACACTCTCCCCCGACCCCCGGCTGTTCTCACCTTCGGGGTGGCTCTGATGCCCTCCCAGCCTCCTGAGCTCATCGCTGCTCAGGCTGCACATTTGCTTTGTTTCAGTGTGTCCACCATCAGGGTAATTCTGTTTCTTGGAACTGGCAGGTGGTGCTAGGGGTCCGGCGTGCCCTAGAACTTGTAGTTGGTGTTGGGGGTCCAGCATGTCCTAGAACTTGCAGGTGGTGCTGGGGGTCCGGTGTATCTGAGAGCTGGCAGG